ACCGCTTCACAAGGTACGATAGATAGAATCCCTGTATCAGTCAGGAGAGGCTGGGCCATCCTGCAGAACAAACAACCTGCAGATCTCAAAGTTTTATTTCTGGCCACGCTATTAGTCCATAGTGAGGCACCCAGGGACCAGCAGGTTGATGGAGCAGCCTCTCTAGAACATGCTGGTCATCATGTCAGAGGGACAGTGAGAGCACTCACCCACAGGTCACTTGGGCCTTCTTTCCCACACGTAACATCTACTCCCCTCCCCCCCCCACACACAGTGGGCCTGCCCCACTTTCATGAGCCTTTCAAATCTGGATCTAGAGGCTAGGGCAGGGAAATCTGAGACCGAAGGATGACAGGGATTTGAGGCGAGGGGGACTGCAGTGTCCAGTTCCAGGTCCAGGACCTCTGTAGGAAGCTCAGTGGTCTCTTCATGTGTGTGGTTCATGTGTAGCTGGCTCATACGGTTCTTTTTAGTCTAGAAACCTATGACCTAAAGAGGAGTTGCCTGTGCCCTCCACCCCCACCCCACTCCTAGCCCCAATGCAAAATCCCAACGCACAGTGGTAGAAAGGGACAGAATAACACAACAAACACCCTGATTCAGAAAGCAGAGGAGTGGGAGAGTCCCAGTAAACTGTGTCCATAGCAAACCTAAAATCCTGCTCGGCAGGTATTTTCCCCCACCCAGGAGTGAGGATATTCCTGGAATCATCCCAATCCTGCTGTCTGGGAAGGCCTGGCCAGTGCACAGTACTTTGGAGTCTTGCTTCACCCTTGGGGGTTCTTTCTTCATCGTTATCTTCCTTATCTGCACAGGTGGGGGTGGGCATTGGGAATACACCCTTCTTGGGAGCTGGGCAATTTCCAGCCCACTTCCATCTGTAGAAGGGTAATCGTAAATTCCAGCCACAAATTCTATTAGTCCTTGTACATAGTTTCTTTGGCACTACTACTTCTCTCAAAAATTTAGTTAACTTCTCTTCTTTTTATTCTTTTTTTTTTTTAAAGATTTTATTTATTTATTTGAGAGAGAGAGAATGAGAGACAGAGAGCACGAGAGGGAAGAGGGTCAGAAGGAGAAGCAGACCCCCCGCCGAGCAGGGAGCCCGATGTGGGACTCGATCCCGGGACTCCAGGATCATGACCTGAGCCGAAGGCAGTCGCTTAACCAACTGAGCCACCCAGGCGCCCCTCTTCTTTTTATTCTTAAATAATTATATTTTTAGAATATTTTCAACAGGACATTGATGTAAACATGAGGAAGACAATAAATATAGTCTATGCCTCTCATTTAAAAACAGGACAGCTGTGAGAGGCATTTTAGGTATGATTTCTTAAGATACATAGGCTCTAGAGCAAACAGTAAGTTTTTCCCATTTCAATCCATATAAGAATGCAACAAAATTCAAATTTCAATGTTCATGGCTACTTGACTCTTGTGAAAATATTATAACCAAGGAAGAACTGTAAAATATTCTGCAATGACAATAAAAAAGTAACTATAGATGGTGTACTTATACAGCATAAGATATATATTTAAAGTTTTTTTTAATGCCTTCGAACTTGAGAACACCAAAGAGACAGAGGAACAGTATCAACTTGCAAAGTCACAGATCTGGAAATGTCATTTCTCCATGGTTTCACTAATGTGTGTGCATATTTTAATTTGTATTTCTTCCTTCTGTGTCCTTCTTATCTGTGGTGTGTCTCATGACTGTTCTGGAGAGTCCCTTGTGGTAGCTTTCCTCTGCGATTTAGACACCCCTAGTCAACACTTGCATACATTTGGTGGCCTGGCGGCTGAGGGTATAGCATTCTGACCCACATCAAAAGGCTGAACTTCGTTGATTTTTTTTAAAGATAAATTGTTCTCATTTTAAATATTACTAACTGATTAAATCAAAATGTAGTTAACTTCTTACCTAATCTGTTTGATTCCAGTTAGCTACATTGTCAATAGCCTCTTTCCAGTGCTTTTTGATACATGCTTTTCTCTCTCAACTTAATTGCAGTTTCCTTGAGCCTCTTGATCTTTGATGGTAGAGTAATACCCTTAAGTCTCTTTTCTCTGATTTTTCCAAGTTATCCCAGGTGACAATTTACCAAATACTCTATCACTGGATACATGATGGCTATCCTTCCAGCCTCCACCATCAGTTTTCTCTTTGCCTTCATCAGCCCTGAAGCCAATGCAACAAATCTTATTTTCTGTTGCAGCAACACCCCACACTGGTTACTACTCTCTATCAGTCAGGAGCAGCTAAGTTATGTTATAGTAACAGATGATTCCAAAAGTTCTGTGGCTTCAAATACCAAAACTTTAATTCTTAATCCATCGAGGATTGGCTGGGGACTGCTCTGGGGCATGATCACCTTCATCCCAGCACCCAGATCAATGGGGCAGCCATGCTCTGGAACACTGACAGTCACTTCTGTTCATAATGGTCACAAGGACTGCCCTACCCACAGGGAGCCAGGTGCAGCTCCATGAGGTTCCCAGAAGACAAGAGCTGAGCTACTGAGCGAAGTATTAATACTTTCCCCAAAACCTGTGACTTCCACAAAATGTGACTTCTGAGGATATTGAGAAAACTGGCAAAGAGTTTGGGGTTGAATTAATGGTAATTACATAGAAAACTAAGTAAACAAAAAAGAAAGCAATCAAGAGCTCCAAAGAAAACAAAAGGAGTCCATTGTAGTTGACCACTTGGCTCAGTTACAGAGGGTATTTTCACGAGAATACCGAACATGGAGCATTGATCTAATGAACTGTTCTATGTCACTCTAATGGGACCTTTTGAGGAGTGAACATGGGCAGAAGAGGCAAAAGGAAAGGAAGCTAAGTCCACATCTATATATGGGGAGGTAACCGCCAGCACCCCAAATGGAAAGCCCAAGAGGTAGCGATGTGATCATGCTGCGGCAGACAGAGTTCTAAGATGCCCCCAACATTCCAGTCCCCGTTCTACACATACCTCCTCCCACAGAGTCAGACGCTAATGCAGGTGTTTCTGCGAAGGCATTTAACAGATGTGATTAAGGCCCAAATCAGTTGACCTTAAGATGGGGAGGTTATCTGGTAGGCCTGACCCAATCACATGAGCCTGTTTATCTGGGTCTGGGGGTCAGATATGGGAGGTCAGAGAGATTGGAAGCATGAGAGGGATTTGAGGTGGGAGAGATTTTATGTTGCTGGCTTTGAAGATGGAGGAGAGGCTATATGGCAAAGAACATGGGTGGCTGAGACTGGCCTCCAGATGATAACTGGAACTGGGGACCTCAGCCCTACAACTGCAGAGAACAGACTTCAACCACAATCATGTGAGCTTGGTAGAGGGCCCTGGGATCCAGAGAAGAATATGGCCTGGGTGATGGCTTGATTTTGGCCTTGTCAGAACCTGAGCAGAAAAGCCAGCTGGCCCATTCCTGGACTTCTGACCTACAGAGCTGCCAGATCACAAATGGCTGTTTAAAGCTGCTAAAACTTGTGGTAATTTGTTACGCAATAGAAAACTCAAGCACGCGCTGTTTGAGTTATAGAAATAATCAGGGAAAAGAGGCAAGAAGGGTTGTCTCTGGGATGGGGGAAGGAAGGCAGGGAAGCTGAGGGATTGCTGTTTCATAACAAACCTTGCACCTTTAAGGTATCTGCATATATAACTTTGATGGAAGGACTAATCACAATTAAAAGATGTGTCAGACTCTCCATGAAACCTTCCCTGGAGGGCCACTGGTCGGGCCACTGGTCTTTGCATATTATACCACTGTTAACTGACATGGTAGATAAAAATGTTCTCAAATCACAGCAGTGATTGTGATTCTTCCCTCCACCTTTTCCTTCGGAAGGAATGATCCAGACACCTTGTGGACAGGTCAGACACTGACATTTTTTGATTACGTACCTTTAGATGGATCAACACTAAAAAAAAAATGTGATGTTTTCTCTTACTCTCCTCAAAACTTTTCCCCAGAAAATTTTTCATTTGTCAAGAGGAGAACTTTGGAGGTGGTTTTGGAGAGAGACTTAGAACATTTGTAATTTGAGTAAGATTAAATCTATTTTCAAGGAAAAAAAAAAAATAGATGTCAGACTACCAGCACCCAATTTCTGTAGAGTGAACGCTTGTGTCCCTCCCCATCAAATTCATAGGTTGAAACCTAACCCCTCATGTGAGGTGGGGCTTTAGGGAGGTGATTAGGTCATGAGGGTAGAGCCCCCATGAATGGGATAAGGGCCCTCACGGAAGAGACTCCAGAGAGCCCCTTTGCCCTTTCTGTGTTGGACCCAGCGCTTTGTGAGGTTCATATCTATGAACCAGAAAGTGGGTTCTCACAAGACACAGAATCTGTGGCACATTGATCTAGGACTTTCCAGCCTCCAGAACTGTGAGAAATAAATGTCTGTTGTTTATAAGCCACCCAGGCTGTGGTATTCAGTGATAGCAGCCCAGATGGACTAAGACAGCAACAAAATCTATCCCCACTTTCTATAGCAGTGACTGACCCCATTCCCCACACACCTGTGCAGTTATATGTGGCCAGGTGACCCAGTTCTGAGTGAGAGAATATGAGTGGAGGGGCTGTGGGCTGCTTGTGCCCTGGGGCTTTTAAGAGGGTGGGTTTCTAACCTGTGTGTTCTCTTTCCCCTTCTGCCAACTGGATGATTATGACAACAAAGCCCTCAGGGATGATGGAGCCACCAAATAGAAGAGACAGGGACCCAGAAATCTGGCCAACAGTGCTCTCCTGGATGGTCACTGTATTTGAGCCAGAGCAATTCAGGGCCTACCTGTTACTGGGGCTTACCTTGCCTTAACTAATGTAAAAGCACAAGTGAGAGGAAAGGATGGGAGAAAAATAAGCAAACGAGATACATGTAGAAGGGGCTCGGTGCCAGGCAAAGTGAGGGTTGTGCTTTGTTCTACAGTGTTATTCTCTAGAGTTGGCTTCTTCGTGGCAGCCAGGCTGTGGGGTGCCCGCTCTGGGCATCGTCCTCCCTACTTCTCCTTCCCAGGGTGGTTACTGCCTCTAAATCCTGCAGCCATGGCCCAGAGCTGGGCTGAGGGTGGCTGGGATTTATCCAGGACCATCCAGTGATGTCCTGATGCTCGGGGCCCCCACTCACAGAAGGCAAGCAGTGTCCTCTTCATCCAGCCCAGTCCAGGGGTCACTCGCAGGCTCCTGTCTCCTGACTTAGTCACAGTATCATAAAGAATTACTCGCTCCAGGAGGACTTTGACCCTGAGCCTTTGCAGCCCTCAAGTCTGACCATTTCAGAGTTGGATGGTTGGATGAAAAACTTCTGACCCAAACCTCATCACAGTCACTGATGGCTTGATGAGTGAAAAGGAGAACAAGCCATTCTCTGTTGTATGACATGGGGGTGGGGTAGAAAACTGTTTTCATGTCCCATCTCCCAGTGGTCCTGGAGTACAAAATAATTCATCAGGTCCTAAATGATGAAAGCCGGCTTCACATCTGGTGCACACTTACAAGGCAAAAGATTAAAACCAGAAATGCTTCTGAGACCAGCCATCGAAAGACCGAAGAGATATTTACAGTGTCTGCAACAAATGTAGGAGGAAAGCATGTTAAAATGATGGATGGTCCCTTCCAGGCTTGCTGGAGCAGATGGCTCTCACTCCTAAACACCGCAACTGACATGGGATCCCGCCTTCCTTCCTGATAATCTGGGAGGATCTCTGGTTGCCATGATAATCGCCTGTTCTGTGTGTCCCCTCCCAGTCTCACCCCTTGGTCGTCTGCTGTTCGTAATTTGTGATCCTTTCCCTGGGTGGGTGTTCAGGGTCAAATGCTGCATTTCATCCTTTTGACACGACTCGGAGATTCCTGCCAAGCCCCGGTCAGTACCGATAAGCCCCAACCTTTGGGAACACTTCAGAACTCCCCTGACACATGGACATGCTCCAAGGAAGGTGCCATTCCTTCCCATTTTATGGGTGAGAAAACTGAGCCTCAGTCGGCTTGAGAGACTTCCCCCCACCCCCCCCCCCGCCCCGGCCACACATACCAAGATTCAGAGCCCAGAGCATCAGCCTGGAGTTCTTTCACCTCATGTTGGTGTCCCCACCCCCAGCCTATGGGAAGCTAGCTAATTAATGGGGGGATTTATCAAATCAATTAAATCAGAGCAAGGCTGGTCCATTCTGAGCTCTCATGGAAATCCTGTCTAATGAGTATTCCCATTAATGGGATTGGGAGGATTTGCAATAGACAATATAGGATAAGGCTGTCTTTAATTCTTGGCTGTTTGCATGCAGGACTTAGGTGAAGAACAGGAAGGGTGGTGAGGTTTAGCTGATAGTATACAAATGAAGCAGGATTCTTTTATGCTAGTACTCCAGATGATATTGCTTAGGCATCATGAAATCCCAGAAATGGGGGCCGGAGACAATCTGCTGGGTCATGCCCACCTGATTCATGGTCAGGTGAGCTCTTGGGGGACATAGGGTCTGTTGTCTCCTCTGGGGGGAGGGGGGAAGAACATTCATCCATCCTCCACACCTGCCATATGTTCAGTTGGTTTTCTGGGCTTTGGGTTTCCTCCATAGGATAGTAAATCAAGAGAGTCAGTAGCTATTATACCTGGTTTTAGAGTTAAATTAGTTGATTTAAAATATCTTCAAAATGTAGTCTGAGTTGATTCTGTGTGAGCCTCTTTGAACTGGAGCTTCCTGATTTGGTATTTGGTATGAAACTTCTTTCACAGGTAAAACAGATAGCTGTACAACCAGGGCTATTGACATTTCAGGAAAAAAGAAATGTTCCCCCCTCCCTCCCAGCACTCCCCACCCCGCCCCCCACCAGGAAAAGGAGAGGAGAAGTTGAAAATGAATTAGTTTAATCTCATTACAGGTAACTTGAGAGCAGCCAAGAGGCTGCCATCTCTGATCAGAAATCATTTCCTGGAAGTCCAGAAATAGTTTCCACTGGAAACTGCTGATTAAGCCCCTTTGAGTGGTCTGCCTTGGGTCTGGTGGGTGACCATGAGGTAGGCCCCCCAAAGGCTCCTCTCCCAGTGCAGGAGGATGCCCCTGGGTCTGGGCCAGCCCTGGGGTCAGGTACTGGACAATCGTCCACTCCACTTCCCCTCTGTGTCCAGTACCTCAGCTGTACAGCCCCTCAGGAAGCAGGTGCCCAGGGAATGGGACAATTCCTCATCCACATTCTGTTGTCGCCTTGAAGTCCCCCTTTAATGTCATGGTGAGGCAGGAACTCTTGGACTGAGAAGTCTGGACTCGAGCACTGCAGACCAGACTCCCAGGATGGCCAAGAGTGGGAGGGGCAGGTGAGCAGCCCACTTGCAGACCCATTCGGGAGGGGCACACACTCTTCTACCCACCGCACCTCCACCACGTGCTGGTGACACAGAGGTCCAGTGGTGCAGGAGCTGCCCCTGCCCTTGGGGAGGCCTGCAGTGCCAGCCAGGAGGGACCAGGGATGCCCTGGGCCTCCAGGACACTGCCAAGCTAAGGGGAGCCGGCACTTGAAAGCAGACGTTGTTGCAATATCACAAGGCAGTTTTAAACATTGTTGCAACATTGTTGCAGCTTTTTAAAAAATGGCCTCAAAGTTTTTGACACCTCTCCCATTGGATCTGGACAGCTCTTGACTGCTTTAACCCATTGAGTACAGTAGAAGGGAAGGTTTGTGACTTCTTGAGCCTCCATTCCTTCCCCCCAGCTCCCACCTGGCTCTCTTGGAGGGTATTTCATTCTCTCCCTCTTGGAGCCCTGAGCGTCCGTATAAGAAATCCAGCTACCCTGACCTGGTGGCTGATCCCCACCACAGCGCCAGGCATGTCAGTGAAGAAGCATCTTGGCAGTCGACCCTCAGGTCCTCCAGCCTTCCAGACCTCCCAGCCGAGGCCCCAAACACTGGTGAAGCAGAAAGAAACCATCCCTTCCAGGACCCGTCAAGATTCTTAGCCCACAAATCAATGGTTGTTGCTTTAGAGCATTGTGTTGGAGGTTGTTCGTCACACAGCAATAGCAACTGGAAGAAACATGGTTTCTTTAAACCAAGAAATGACTGGCCTAGTGCTCAGAGAAAAATGATCTCTTTCAGTCCTGGGAAGGGGGAAACCAATGATGGTAGCCTTTCGTTGACATCTGGACTCTATGGGTGAGCTAAAGGATTTTCAAGGGGACTTATTCTGTGTTTGACTGAGGGACTCACTTGAGACTCCCCTGGTGCTCACAGCTGCCTGGTAGGTGCACTCAGGGACCCCAAGTGGTGAGCTCTCTGCCTCCTCAGAGCCTCCTCTGACAAGAGGGGTGAATGTTCAGCTCCATGCCATGCATCTGGCACACAACCCATTTAGGGTCCTTGCAGCCCAGCCTCCTCCTCAGGAGAATGACTGGGACTCTGGCCATCCTAGGCCTGGCCCCTCTGACACATTCTCCAAAATTCCATGTTTCCATAACTTCCTTATTCATTATTTAATTCCATTACTTAATTTGAAAAACACTGAAGAGCTGATGATTGCTATTTTCTCCAGGAAAAGAACCATTTCTTTGCTCTTCTGCCAACTCGCGCATGTACAGACCGTTTTTCTCCCTATTTACTTGTTGTGACAGTCATTGCTAATTATTTACTGTGTCGACCAGCTCTTGCTGCATAACAAGGTAGCCCCAACCTTAGTGGTTCAAAATAACAATAAACATTTACTATGACTCACAGTTTCTGTGGATTTGGGAAGGGCTAAGCTGGGGGCTTCTGGCTTGGGGTCTCATGGGATTGCAGTCATGACATTGGGACTGCAGTCATCCGAAGACGTGACGGGGGCTGGAGAATGAGACTCACAGTGATTTCCCAACATGGCTGGCAGGTCAGTAACAGTTGCTTGTGGGAAGCCTCCATTCCTTTCCACTCGGTCCTTTCCATGGGGCTGCTGGAGTGTCCTTACAACACGGTGGCTGACTTCCCTGACCCAGAGCGAGAGGTCTAGAGAGAGAGCCAAGCGACAGCTATCCTTTTTTCTGATGTCACTTCTGCCACATTCAAATCATTGGCTCTTCAGTGACTTGCTAAGTCTGGCCCAGATTCAAAGGGGGTAGGCATAGGGGGCAGTGGAGATTAAGCTCTACCTTTTGAAGTGAGAAATGTCCAAAAATTTGGGGACATATTTGAAAACTACCATACTTACCCATTATTCAGTGTCCATTATCCCCTTCATCCTGCAATTTTATGCTAAGCAGCAAGATGCCTGGCTAAAAGACTACATTTCTAAGCCTCCCCCAAAGCAGATGAAGATTAGTGAGATGGATGTAGAAGTTGTTGGGTGAGATTTGCCAAAAGCTTTGTAAGAATGGGAAGAAACAGCTGGCATTTGCCCTATCCCTCTTCCTCTTGCTGACTGCTCCGGATGCAGATGTGATAGTTCGTGCTCCAGCAGCCATTTTGTGACTATGAGGCAGCCCCAAAGCTGAAGGCATAGCTACAAATCAAAGAGAAAACTGAATGGAGCCTGTGTCCCTAGTGACATCATGGAACCTCCCATAATTTACTTGAATTTTCTAACACTGAACTTCTTTTACAGGGAAGGGTACTAGCAGTTCTTGATATTTATACCAGGTTTACTAACAGAGGAACACAGATCCTAACTGATAAATTCATACTGTTCTTTCTTCAAACCTGGCTTGCACAGGACTCATCATTGTATTTCTGGGCCCTCTTCCTACATGATGTTCTTCTGCAAATGGGGTGGTCTGCTTGGTGTTTGTAAGTTAAGTTCCTGAGTGAACTTATTGATTCAGATCATCACAATAATCCATTTGGACACAGCCTCTCATGTCAGACTAAGTCATAGGCCACCTAAGGATGGGGAACTTTGGGGTCTAGGCCCACTCCTGATCCAGTCACCTGCGGCCTCTGGGGATAGGTAACATGATGTGGTTTCTGCCTGGGGAAGAGGGTGAGTGGGGAGTGGTTGTGCTCCACTGTGGGAGAGAGAGGCTGCCGGAGGGGAGCACTGAGTCTGTCATCATATGAGAGGTCCGGGTCTGCGCCAGCAGGACCCTCGGGTCATTCAACAAACCAGGTCACCTTCATCACATACAGCTCCTCTGATTTCTGAAGCCCATTTCCCAGGGGGTATTTCAGCTCTTCCCACCTGGTCAACCAGAACACGTATCTCCTGCTCAGCCGTCCTGGAGCACCAGAACTACAGTCAGGAGTCCTGGATTCACGTCTCTACCCCACCATCCCTTTGTGAAACTCATTTGAAATAGAAGTTACTATTGCTCCCTAAAAACCACCCAAAACTTAGTGGCTTGAAATAACCATTGTAGTCCATTTCGTTCACAACTCTGCAACTTGGGCAAGACTTAGAGAGGTTGGCTCCTCTCTGCTCCACTCAGGGTCAGCGGGGGCGTCTCCACTGTCTCAGGAGAGCCCACTTCCAAGATGGCTCCCCCACATGGCTGGTAAATTAGTCCTGGTGGTCCACTGGGGGCTCAGCCTTGGCTTGGGTTTGGGGCCTTGATTCCTCCGCAAGCTGGCCTCTCTATAGGCTGTTGGGGCTTGCTCCCAGTATGGTGGGCTGACTTCCAAGAGCCAGCGTCCCAAGGGATGGAAGGGAAAGTGCATTTTTATGACCTGGCATCCAGAAGTCACTCAGCAGCACTTCCCACCAGAGTCTGGGACTGGGGCTGTCAAAAGGCCCACCCAGATTCAAGAGGAGGAGACATGGACTCCACTTCTTGATGGGGAAGTAGCAAGGTTCTAGCAGAGCATGGGGAATGGGAGAGATTACCGTGGCATTCTTTAGGAAGTACAACCCGCCACGGAGAGTAAGTGTGCCTGAGGCCCTTCGTTGCTAAAGTTGGAAGGTATCTGATTCCACCGCAGTTCATAGGACCTGGGAGAGGCCAGAAATGCCACGGCGCAATCCCCCTTCCTTCCTTTTGGGAAACCGAAGCTCTTTTTTGAAAAAGAGATATTTTTGTTCTTTTTCTATAATTTCACAAGTGCCACGGTGAGATATGCCTCCCCTACAGAACCACGGGCAGTGTGGAACTGGGCCCATCAGGGGAGGGATTTCTGTGGTTGAAGAGTCGGCTCCTAAGATTGCACCCAAGGCCACTTCCCAGAGGGAGGTGCTGAAAGTGACCCCCACTCAGAGTCTTGCTGCACCCTGGAAATATCCCCCAAGGGCCTCCGATGCAGAGACAGGGAAAAAGATCCTACAATCTCTGACTTTCCCAGCCTCCCCTGGAGCTGGGCATGCCTCATGACTGCATTTGGACCAATGGGATCTTAGGGACGCATGGAGAGAAATACCATGTCCAAGAAACCCCCATACAGGGAGAGGTGAACCCTTGCTGCCTTCTGCTCTCCTGGCACCCACCAACCATGACCCAGAGTATTGCTGGAGCTTTAGAAGCTGCCATGAGGGTTAAGGAGCCCCCACACCCACATTGCTACTTCCCTCAGGGCTGCTTTTACTAGAGGACATGGAGCTCTTCTCTTCCTGAAGCAGGCTGTGCTGGGTTTTCTGGGACACACAGACTCACTCCAGTGTGATTCCTGGACCAGGCAAGGCCTCTCAGCTAGGAGGCAAGAAGCAGAGCCCTCCGGGCCTTGCTGCCTCCCCTCCCCTATTGGGAAGGCCAAGGGTGACAAGTCCTGGGGAAGGGGGCTCCTGGGTGGCTCAGTTGTTAAGCGTCTGCCTTCGGCTCAGGTCATGATCCCAGGGTCCTGGGATCGAGTCCCGCATCAGGCTCCCTGCTCGGCAAGAAGCCTGCTTCTCCCTCTCCCGCTCCCCCTGCTGTGTTCCCTCCCTTGCTGTCTCTCTCTGTTGAAAAATAAATAAATAAATAAATAAGATTCTGGTAGCTTGACTCCAGAGCTCATACTTTAAAAAAAAAAAAAAGGTTCCTGAGGAAGGACTACAATTGGACTAGTGCCCTTAAAAGAAGAGGAAGAAATTGGAGAGAGCTCTTTTTTACTCTCACTACCATGTGAGGACACTGCAAGAAGGTGGCCATCTGTATGCCAGGAAGAGAATTCTCACCAGATGCCAACACCTAGATCTTGGACTTCCAGCTTCCAGAACAGTGAGAAATAAATGTCTGCTGTTTGAGCCACCCAGCCAGTGGTGTCTTGTTAGAGCAGTCAAAGCTGCCTGAGATTCCCTGTGATGCCCGAGTCATGATCCCACTGCACAGGGGGGACCCAGCTCTGAGAGGCAGAGTGGGCCACCCGAAGGCCACATCCAGGACCTAGGTGAGAGCCCTGTTCAGATTCCAAACCCAGTTTATAAGTGAGAAATGCTTTGGGCTGCAAGGAACAGGACCCAGCCAACAGTCACATAAACAAATAGAGGTCTCCCATAATAAGATGTCAGGAGGTAGGCCTTCCCACGGCTGGGAGAAGTGGCTCAAGGGTGTGGACAAGGGCCCAGCTCCTTCTCCCTGAGCCTCCATCCTCCTTAAAGTGTTGGTGTTCTGCTGTAGAGACCCTGGCCACAGCTCCGGGTCCACAGTTAGGGCTAGAAGCCAGGGGAGGGTGTTGGGAGCCTATGACTTAAACTCTCTGTGCAGCAACGTTCCCTGAAGACTTTCGCTTCATTTTGCTTGGCTACACCAAACAACAGGGGAAACTGAGGAAGCAAGTCTGACTTCCCTGTTCTTGTGGTAAGAGGCAGCACGGGACAGGGGCCGAGGATGCCCAGCGTCAGCCACCCCCAGCATCACCTTACAGATCCTGTTCTCTGATTCAGACTGTCGACTTGGCACAGTCTGGGGGACTCATTCAGATTTGCAGTGCCCGGTAAGATGTAGTTGGATACCTAAGAAGTGAGCATGCTCTGATGTGTGGGTGTTTATGTTCCTAGTGGCGAGGGGGTGAGGATGAAGTGTTCCCAATTCCCGGCCTCTGGCCTGCTTCAGACTGGCAGGGTTTCCCTGATGAGGGCTGATGGCTGCTTTGCCAGAGAGGCGCAGGGGCCTGGGATTCTCAAGCTCACCTTGAGCTTGGTGGAGGCAACTGTAACCCCACGGAGCCTCCTCACAGGTGGGATGGGGCATCCCGTGGATCTAAAGGGAGCACGCCCTCTCATCCTTCTTCCCCCAGCTGTGCTGCATGACTCTAGCTTCTCCCACTAAGATGAATGGTTCTGCACAGGATTATCCTAAAGCAAGCCATTGCTTTGAGAGAAGCCCTTTCTATACAGCTGTTTCCTGGTTCAAGGCACTGCCCCGCACAACCCATGGGGACTCTGGGTGGTACTTGGCCCCTCCCGTGCTCTTACTGTCCAGTTGGTTTACCCGTTGGTTTCCCTATGCAGCTCATATCATGTCAAGGCCTCACTGGCCACTCCCTGTGGGCACGTGGGTGCATTTCCATCTGTGGCCCGCACAACCCTGCCCCTTCAGGTAGGTTAGCTGGAGACCCCTACAGGGTTAAACGTCTCTCCCGGAAGCCAGAGAAGCTGCAGCGTTCTCATGTGGAGTACAATTGGCAAGTTCATTTAGGTCCATGAGTGGTGGCTGCTGGGAGGCATGGAGGTGTGGCTTCTGAGCTAAGTACCCAGGGTGCCCAAATGCAGAGGGAACTCATGGCTAGTGCAGACAGAAGGCAGCAAAGCTCGGCGGGAGCATGAAGGGGCATCCAGGGAAGCTGAGATGTGTGCAAGGCTGGGTGGGTTAGCGGGAGTGTGTGGGTCCCTCGGGGACAGAAGTTAATTTGGGTGTGACAATAGAGGCAGCCCAAGATCAGCAGGGTGTGCTGGGGGGGTGGGGGGGAGGGCAGTGCTCCAGGAGGCAAGTGACGCCTGCCGATGGCATGGGCCCCAAGAAGCGTGGCAAGAGCCGACAGTCCAGTCATGTGCTGGGGGAGCCCCGACATAGGCAAGAGCCTCAGTAGGGGCTCCCAGGTGAGTTCAGTGTGCTGGCCCAGGCAGCTAGATGCCATGCAGGGGTGCGGAGGGGGCACAGGAGAGAGAAAGAAGGTTGAGAAGCTCAGAAAGGGAAAGTGGAAAAGGAGTGAGGGGTGGGAGGAGCCTCAGGGATAGCCAAGAAGAACAGACCTTGAGGGGATGGGTCCTTCAAACCTCCGCTCTGCTGTGTGATGCTGGGCCGCCTCGGGAACCTCTCTGAGTCTGTTTCCCCATCTGAACAGAGCAAAAAAAACACCTGCTGTGAGGGGAGCATCAAATAACGTTAACATTTCAATGTGGGTTATGGCACCCACCATGTGGCAGGTGCACATACCATGGCAGTTATCTTCCCTCCTTCAAATCTGGGGTCACCGTTGGTCACCAGGTGACCTGGAGACCTCATTTCATCAGGTAGGGTCAGCCCGCTCCCTCCGGTGTTCTGGGGGAGGCCCCCGGGCATCAGGCTCTGACCGCGCAGCCGTGTCCCTGGCAAGGACAGCATTTGCACCGAGGAGCCTCCAGGGCTCTGGGCGGCGGCACTGGGAGCAGATGCCGGCAGCTGCTGCTTGCCCCACAATGTGGCTTTTGTCCGCCAGGGTGGCCGTGGAGGCCGGGAACGACCTGCGCTGGGGCTGGCCGAGCGCAGCCCAGAGCTCTCAACAAAGCGGCTTAGAACGGCTGCCCCCAGGCCCTGGGCAGTCGCTTTTGTTATGCAAATGAAGGAGGCGGTTCCCAGCAATCTCTGCCCTGGGCACAGCGAACCATTTTGTGATGCAGATGAAGTGAGGTCTCCAGGCCCCCACCTGCCCGCAGTCTGAGGCGGGGTGCTTCTAGACCCCGATCTTGCCCTGCTCCTCCCCGTTGTGCTCCGCAGCTTGGCTTAGTGGGCACTGCCCGGTGCACCATGCAGGGCCAGAGCTGAGCTCTCTAGGGGACTCTCAGTCCAGCCAGGAGGTGACAGGACCAGAAGAAAGAAGCAGAGGCAGAAGGACATTACCTCAAACTGTGCAACCACCCGGGAAGAATGAGACCAGGCAGCTGGGAGAGGCCCCTCCGAGCAGGCGCCCCTGAGGCTGAGCCCGCCAGGCTGGGGACGGTGTCTGGGGTGGACGGACTCATCGGCAGAGGGACTGTGTGTGCCAAGGCCCCAGGGTGGGCCACCTGGTTCCAGGGGGAGGCTGGCTGGTGTGAAAAAGGCCCATCCATGGACTCATGGGCACACAGACCTTGAATGGGGTCCCAGGGCTGGGCCTGCCTGCCCAAAAGACACATACTACAGTGATCTGGCAAATTTCCAAATTTCTCTGAGCCTCAGTTTCCTTGTGCGTAAAAGGAAGAGAGGAATCACCTCTCTCACAGGGTTGTGGAGAGATGAATGAGATAATCCAGATACACTGTCAAGTCAGTGCCTGGCACATAATAAGCATGCAATGGGTAATAACGATGGACAGCCATTTGGCAATATTTACCAGGCTTACAAATGCATACACTTATTTCCCAATAATGCGACTTCCAGGAATTTATTCTACAAACATTCTCCCATGTGCAAAATGACAAATATTCAAGGTTATTCTTCAAAGATTTGTTTGTAGCAGCCAGAGATTAGAAACCACCCAACTGTCCATTTGCAGGGGTGGGTTCGATGGATTATGGTCTGTCCGTGCATATAAGAGTTCTCTTCAGCTTAAACAAGAATGCGGGTGCTCTCAGGTGCAGACACGGGAGCTGACTGCGCAGGACCTGGGAGGGGTAGACCAGCAGCCCGCACAGCAGCCACGGAGAGGAGTGGGGCTGAGTGCGGCCGGGCCCTAGGCTCCACGGGGCCCAGGGAAGAGGGAGGGCGTGCCAGGAAGAACAGTGTGCAGGGCCAAGCTGGTGGCTGGTATCCACACACACACCTGGAGGCCGACATTGACTCCTGCAGAAACGGACCGTCTTGGAGCGAGGCGGTGCACACAGCTCAGCAGTGGTGGAATAACACAACCAGTCACCATAGCAACAACCAGCAGTTGTAATTTACAGCAGGCGGGCAGCACCTAGTGTACAGGGGAAAGCTCCAGGTCCCCGGCTGGGCTGCCTCGGGGCAACACCTCTGTAGCCCTGGGTGTGCACGTGGCCCCGTGGGGTGACTCCCGGGCCTCAGTTTCCCCAGCTGTAAAATGAGGATCTGACCAGTGGCACACCTGCGCCTCCGTGCCTGGGAGTGAAAGGCTGGGAGGGAGTGGAGCATGCTTCAGAGCAGGCGCAAAGGCTCTTAGCCTCCCACGGCAGCCCCAGAGGGACAGCTTTGTCCCTTTTCTGGTCCCTATTGCCCTCATTAGAGTCGACTGTGTGCAGCCCTGGATTCCTGCCACCAAAGTATCTTCCAGATAAATAAATAATGACTACAGAAGAGGAAGAAGGCAGATTGCATTTCCTTTGGGCAAGAGGGCTCCCCAGGGGGCCTTCTGCAAGAACACAGGTGTGGGTCCCCTGCTTTTCAAGCCCCTTGCCCCTGCTCCCCTCCCCCAGCCCTTCCAGCTTGGAACCCGCCAAGTCATTCTACCACCTCCGTCTCCCCAAGAAGACACCGCCCAGACCACTGGCCTTGCCCCATGGCATGAAGCCAACCTCCTGAGGGCCATCAAGAGCTGCGTTGGGTGGGCTATGCTCAGCACCTTCCAGGCCTGACCCTTGCCGGGAAGGGCAGCAGATGATCTCTGACGTGTCAACCCCAGCCCAGTGGACAGCCCCTCCTCTGTCCCCTGTCCAGGATGCACAAGGCTCCTTTTTCCCTGTTGAGACGGGCCTATAGATCAATACAGGGAGCAGGCAAGGATAGTGGGGCCCTGGTGGAGGGGAGCACCCCAGAAGGGCCTCTGTCTGTACTTCCTTCCTCCCCACTTGCCTGCCTGGGGGGCGGGCCAGGCTGGCTCCAGGCTTTGGTCCCCTGCGCCCACTTTCTCACCGCTGTCTCACGAACACCCCACAACTGCTCATCAGGCCTGTCAGGGGCCTCTGGACTTGTCCCCACTTCCCTCCAAGGCTCTACCCTCTCTGCCTTGCTGCCCTCATGCAGGCACAGGGGGCTGCAGCTAGGAGGGGCTGGGCACAGGTGGTCAGCAGCTTAGTTCTCAAACGAGGAGCAGGAGGGCCAGGAGGGTGAGCCGCACTCCGTATGCAGCAGTGACTACTTTAGAGCACCTTTAAAAAAGAGTTAAAACAAACCCAGGAGGAGAAGGAATAGTATAGGAAACCCATGTGACATTCTAGGTAAAATGAATCTTACGCAGGTGGCTTGGCAGGATGCCCTCTTGGATCTTATTTGCTCTCGGGTGTTTGGGGTGGCAGGTTTGGGGAGAAGTCTGAGACGCCTCCGTCTCGCCACGCTCTGAATTGTATCCCCTTCTTTCCCAGACCACCTGTGCTGTGCTGCTAGGCCTTTTTCCCTAAATTAATTAATTAAACTGCTGCGTCATTCAAAAAGAAGAACCAAAACAGCATTTGTTTCTTAAACACTTCAGTGAATGAAAAGCAATGTTCCTGCTAGGCCTTTTTAGGGATAACCCCACGCCCTGGATGTTCCCTCCAAATGACCACCAATCACCGCAGACACAGTTTTGTCTCCTGCCAAGGGATTTCAGAGTTGGGCAGAGCGGTTTTGAGCGGTGAGGCTCTGCCGGGGCCCGAGGTCACCTGCCTATTCTGCGAAGCCCCTCTTCCAGCCAGACGGGCCTCGGCAAGGTGCGGGGCTCTGGGTCCCTGGCATAAGCAAGCCCTTGGCTTGACTTAGGGGCCAGTGGGGCCCACAGGCATGTTTGGGGGATGGTCTCTCTATGCTGTACAGCAACTCCAAATACATCCCTCGTGGTCTTGGGCAAACAAGACTATCTGGCCAGGCCTAATGACAGAAATATTGTGGGAAATTAAGCATCTGTCATTTAGATATTAGACTCTATTTTAGGTTGAACCTCTTTAAGGATTATGTTTCTTTCATCCTCAATGCCCCCTCTCAGCGTGCTCCTGAGGGCACTTCGAAGCTTTTGGGACAAGCATGCAACCTCTTAGGGTCCCGGTGGCCTTCTCTGAAATTCCAGGGAACGGGCCGGGAGCCCTGCTCAGCTAGATGCTTACAGCTCCCCATGTCCAGCTAGTCCTGGGGAATTTCCTCCATTTCTTGGTGCCTCCCCTCCACCCCCTGCTTCTGTCGCCCACCTAGGTCCTAGAGCTAATGATGCTCAGGGCCTTCTGATTTTGCCTTGACAGTGGGTGTTGTAGAGGGAGCAAGGTGCTGGAGGCTTCTCCACTCGTGTCTGACAGAGAAAACCCTGGCACCCCCCAGCAACAAGGCCCAGAAACAAGTGCGCTCCATCTCACCTCTGGGCCAGGGACCAGGCAGGGACACTGACTCCGAACCAGGCTGAGGAGGCTGAGGCCACCCTGGCACACGGCCCAGCCACCCCGAGGCTGGTCGAGAGTCTGTTCTGCCACTGTCCCCCACCGCCCCCCGCCCACTCCGTGTCCAGCACGCTGGCCACCCCCTCCTGGTGGGTGGCCTGGCTGCCTCACACTCCCAGAGAAAATCCAATGACTCGACTGGCCTAGGGACCTCTGCACCTTGCGTGCTTTGTGCGTGACCTTGCTTTTCTCCCCCAGCAGCCTCCGCTGCCCAGATGAGAAAAAACAGGTGACATGTGCCTCCCCTGGTCACTTCCCAGCCTCAGCCCTTCCTCTGGCCTCCAGGTACTCGAGTGAGCACACCTGGAACTATAAGTGCCCTGCTCTGGGGAAAAGTCTGGGAGTCCTGCTCTGCAGAAGCTCCTTCCTGGTGTGTTGGACTCAGGGCTGGGTTGAGGAGCACCTGTAACCCTCCAGCGAGACTGCACATTGCACTTGGCACAATGCACCGTGTCTCCAGCCCTCACACTCCCTGTTCCCTGGTCTGGACAGGTGACACAGCCCCTGGACATCCTTTTTCTTTCCTGGGGGCTTGCCCTGCCCTCTCGCTCTCCCAGCAACCTGTGCGGTCCCGTATGGCTGTGTTTATTCATTTGCCCACCCGGCTTCCTACTAAAGCCGTGAACTTCTTGGGGGCCACACTGGGCGCAAGGGTCCCAGCACAGAACTCACAGCATCTGGTGAGGGCCTGCCCACTGCCTCTGCCCCACAGTGCCCACCCCCCCAATCCCCATCAAGCACACAGAAAGACCCAGACTGGGCAGTGAGGGGCGGGGGTGGGGGAGGGTAAGATGATTTCCAAGCCCAGAAGCCACTCTTCCCTTCCCTTTCTCTGAGTAGGGAGGCAGCCACTGTGAGTTCCTGTGGAGCCTGGGTGAGAGGGTGAGAGGCTGAGAGGAACCCTCAGAGCTGCGGGCCTTTCTGCGCTGCTCTAGGCACGTCCCCCTCAGCCACCATTCCTACCCTTATCCACAGAACTGAAATGGGTTAAAATCTTGGGAGAATCAGGCCCAGTTAGAAAGGCCTTCCGGCATTTTTTTTTTTTTTTTTTAGAAAAAAAAGCTTAATGCAAATCCAACTC